GACTGCGGGACCGGGCGGCCGACCGTCCGTTGCAGCCTCTTGGCGTGCAGAGGACCATGACCTCTGCGCTGACCAAGTGTGGTTCCCCCCCGCGGAGCTGGCTCAATCTACGCCTGGGGACGAGTGAGTACCCTCTGCTCTACCCACACCTCGCTGTTCAATGTGCGATCTGTTGGGGTGAGCTCGAGACGGGGGCGTTGCCATTCTCAGTAAAACCATTTTCCAAACGGTGCCTCGTCAACTGAATGGTTCTGCTTCGTAATGACTAATGGTTCTGCTGGTGGCCCACGTGCCTTGGGCCCCAAGCCGCTCTTATTAATCAGCAGCAATAACTTAATGGTATAGAAGCTGAGAACGCTGCAGGATTGCAGAGGACAGTTAAGGGGAATTAGCAGCAGCCCATTAAGGAGAGGAGCGCTCGCTTGTCCGCAGGGACGTCCTCCAGCGGGAGGGAGGGAACCAGTGAGTGGCACCTGGCTGACTTCATGCCTTGTCCAGGGCGAGAACCAAGTTTTCAGTAATTGCGGGTGCTTCGAGGCAGACGCTGCTGCTGCAAACAGTGGACGTGTCGGTGTCCTGGCAGGAGAGCTGGTTCCCAGCTTCCATGGCAGAAGGACTTCTCGTGAGGATTTGCTTACAGGAAGGAGAAGGAGGACTTGAGTGGCTAGCAGTTTCAGGAATATTACAGATGGTGAAATGTTGCTGCCATAGCGTTTAGGCACCTTTTGAACTAGCTAAACAAGTCATCCTTCCAAGACACTCTGTATACAGCGTGAGCCGGGCTTCGTGCTGCCCGCGGCTGGCTGAAAAAGGGACCCCCAGGCAAGCGCTGGGACCGGCACGAACCTGTTGCTGGAGCAGCTCTTGTTGTGCGGAGGGCTTGCTTTCGCCCATGCCCCCAGGGATGGGGAACGCGAAATGCCGTTTCAGCCTGCGTCCCAGGGCTGGAAACGATCCCGCTGGCAGCGGAGCAGGCTGTTAAGGGCGCGCGTGTCTGGTTTGCCTCGGCACGGCCCCCTGGGGCCGCTCGGAGGGGGCCCTCTTCAGCCTGCTCTGTGCACGATCTCGGGAGAAAAGGAGAGGCTATCGGACACGCCAAGCTGCGTGTTCGGGTGACTCGCACGCAACCGCTGCCCCGTAGGCCTGGGCAGCACGTGCGTGCGCCGAGCGTAGCGCTGGAGC